ATTGAGGCGACAGCGGGCGCGACTCTCGGATTCGCAGTGCGCCTTATGGTTCCCGACAGGGGAGACCCGTGGTAGAACTCTTGCCAAGAGCCTCATATTGAATAACTTTTCTCTAGCTAGTCAGAAGTTTCCTCTGCGCTACTCTACAAATCGCATGCGCCTTTAGGCTGTTATGGGGCCCCGCGCCGTTACACTTTCTTGGTCTTTTGGCGCAGCTCATTCAACCGCCGTGTCGGCGCGCAAAGGGGCCTGCTCCGGTTGTGCCGAATCGCACCGCGAACATTCGGTATCTTTCAATTCTCCATTAACTCCGGACTCGGGCATTCAGCACCTCCCTGGATTGAGTGTGAGCAAGAATTCACTGAATAAATACCAAAGGTCTGCCACTTACAAGAAGAGATCTGGTCATCGTAGTCGCCTGAGTAGCCATCGCTGGCCTCACCCAGGTTGTAGTTGTAAGAAAGGGTTACGCCACGATCATCACCCTTGTTGTTGCAGTCGGTAAACCTGAAGCACCATGTCAGCGATGACTTTGCTTCTGATTGGCTCGGGTTCTTACTTGTAGAATTGGCAAAGACCACCGGTGTTAGTGCTCAGGGAGCTAGTCTGGTTGTCGTACTTGTCCAAGAAGGCCTGGGTCTTGTTGTAGCTAGAGAAGTTGACTAAGAGCATTCCTTCATCAGTTCCGAGCTCATCGCCTCGACGGGTCACGTCTCGTCGAAGACTCATGCTTACCGCACTTGCCGGGAGGGGCTCCCCAGGAAAGGCACTCTCCCCTAAACCCAGCATCAGAGCACTGGAGCACGAAGATGTTCTCAGGCGTGATAATAGGGCGCGTTCCGTTCGGCTGGCCGTCCACAGGGACCGCCTGGCGCTTCTCATTCGCAGTCGCAGGGCCCAGGTCGATGAAAGGTGCAGTCATAAACGCTGCGTAAGCCTCCGGGTGCGAAGACTTGAGCTTCTCGGACAGAGGAACCACGGAGTTCTGCTGCACGGCCGGAGCAGCAATCGCCATGGAGGCGAGGGCGAGCGTTGTGAGAGTTGTGAGCTGCATGATTGATGAGATGAGACTGTAACGAACGGTTGATTGTTATGCACGCCGATTGTCAAAGTTGACAGTAGATTGTCTGGTCTTAAGTTGGGAAAGCGTGCACACATGAGAGGAACTACGGACCGGCCTATTATACTCGTCCGGAGGTTTTTCAAAACGGGAGGCCCTCTTCGAACGACATTGTCTGCCCGGTCATCCCCGTCCAGAAACGGCCCAGGGCGAATTAGGTTTGTACCTTGAAGTGAAGGTTTCCAAGTGACCCGTTGATTGTCCTTTAGCCGATACCATCATATAATTTGATCGGTGCAGACAGCGATGATCTCGGGATTCCAAGGTTGGCTGTGCTCGCTCCCGAGGAGGCGCATAACCCAACATCAACTTCCCAACTCCCTGGAACCTGGGAGAGTTAATGAAGAATATGGAGTTGAGGCCCTTTGTGTCGCACCCGGTTCATCCGAAATATTGTGCTTTGCAGATTGCCTAAACTCTATTTCTCATTGGAAATAATGGTGGTGCGACCCCCTGAATCGTAATCCGAGAGTTCTCTCAGATGCGCGGAGATGTCCTGGATTGTTTCGAGATCATCTGCCAGGCTCATGGTTGCTGCTTAATATGAGCTTAATGATGCTCAATAATATTCTCAATGATGTCGGAGAATATTCCCATCTATTTGAGCATAGGGGAATCATCAATCGTAGCAAGCCACAGGATGATCGTTGCGGCCAGAGTACTGTTCAACGTCTCAGTCTTTGATCTGCCCTGATTATTGGTCAACTAAATTTCCGCTTGCCGTGATCAAAGCCACATTGAGTGTCGACATCACGCGTGGAGATGCATCAAATGACCCAATCCGGCAGTTGCGCCCATTCCTGAGTGGCTGGGATTTAGTGGTGAACAGAGAAAAATCTCATCGGGAGGAAGAAAACGTTTAGTATTCGCCTATGCAAAAAGTCATCAAACAATGCCAGCTGAAATTTAGCACGATTAGTTCTTCGGAAAGATTTGCGTCTCTCAAAAGGTGAAAAGGAAGATGAACTCGGACTCTTAGTAAACGGACACCATCGTCTTGGAAACCAGTTATTTGGATTCCTGATCTTGTCAACCGAGATCATCTGATAAGGTGCATAGAAAATGTTGGTATCCCGCGATTGAGTTTGATAGTCTGCGCCTGTTTCTTTTACCCAGCCACAACACCGCCGTCTTAGGAAGGTTGCTTCACACCACATTCCACATTGACGTCTGACGGGCGGGCGGATTCTTGAGGCCGAACACGGCGAATCGGGCCCAGACCACCCCCGCAATCTCGGCACCTTGACAAAGAGTGGAAACGCCCCCGAAGGCGGGCATCCTTACAACGCACACGCCGGATGCTGCAAGTACTCGGCTTGTGCAAGACTGCCGTTTCTCGCCGTTGGGGCGTGCTTGCTGACAATTGTGGCCTGACGTAAAATCCGATTGGGGAGCGGGCCGCACGCCATATGCGCCCTCTGCCACGAGGTCGTCAACTTTACCGCGGGGCCAGAAGCGGAACGCAATTCCGCCTCATTATTCCCACGGAAAATTAAGAAATGCTGCAGGACTCCAAGCCTTGAGATTCGAGCTTGAACCTGGGGGATCAGCGAAGCGAGACCGCTAGTGAGCAATAGTCGCCCTGTCCGTCTCAGTTGTGATGGGTTGCACTTCTTCGTGGGCCTCCGCAATTTGGGCCCTGGGTTGAACGGATCGATGCTGAGCACAGACCGGGACCGTAGGGCTGGTGTACATAGATCATCCGTTCTTGACGCGGATGGGCTTTCTGTCAACTCGGCACTGCCTGGCAGACAATGAAGCTCATCGTGGAGCCGTCGGGTGTCAATGAAAACACTGCTCAAGGGCGTTTGTTGTTTCGTTGTATGACTCTGTCAGTCGTGTCATTTCGGCATTCCATCACAAATGCCGAAGTCTTCAATGGGTTCTAGCTTCTCTGTTAGGTCTGAAACTAGCAGCCCCTCGCCTGATCAACCAGAAGGATGGGCAGTGGCTGGCCTCGCGAGGCATTCGGAGCATCCGCTAGCACGGTAGCGCCGCATGCGTCCAGAGCCAGGGAGAGTCCGGCAGCCTGGAAACGCGCTCTTGCCTTTGTGCAGCCATGTCGCGTGGGAGGAGCGGGAAAGGCTTACCACATAGAATCAAGAGGCTTTTCGTCGATGAAGAATTTCGCGGCGCCACATACGCTCGGGATCGAATGCTGCGTGTCGGGTGTTCAGGGGGTGCGATGCGATGTTCTGTTTATATCGGACGTGGGCTCCCGCTCTCCTTTGCGGAAGAGCGCGAATGCCGTGAACTCGCTACGCCAACGAAGGCCAACTTGTTGCCAAAGAGTTCCGCAACGACAAGCTCTCCAACATGAGGATTCCCCCGATCAGTGTCATCTTGGCTTGGCCACGACCGAACTACACGAATCCGGAGACGAAAGGGCCAGGGTTGATGATCATTGAGTTGGTGTTCTTGCTCATGGCCTTGACATGTTTGGGATTGCGGATGTACGTCAGACTTTTCATGATCCGCAAGACTTGGTGGGACGATTGGCTTATGGTGGGAGCCATGGTAAGCTCGTACATCTCGAACAACATGCAAAATGAATCATGGCTAATCATGTGGGATAACAGGTTTTTTGCATTGGCGTGACGATCTGCGTTATCCTCGGTTCGAAGCCCTTCACAAAGCGATGAAGAAATATTCAATGCTAATTGCTTTCGATTAGCAACGGAGTTGTACGGCTGGAATTTACACGTATGGGACGTGCCATTGTCTGAAATCAGACAGAGCCGTCAGGTAAGGGGCGTCAGCATACGACGGAACTCCTAGCTCACTGACGCAAACATCACAGATCTCAATGGCGGCGCAGACTCTATTTCTCTTTGCCTCCGGCCTCTCGAAGCTTTCGATTCTCTGCAGCTATCTGAGGATTGCCGCCCCCGGCACCTGGTTCTCCCGCCTCACCTGGGTCACGGGCATCCTTGTATTCCTCTTGACGTGGATCTTTATGATCGTCTTATGGACTCAGTGCGCGTAAGTCACCCGACCTGAATAGCCGCGCTCCATCTAGAAGTTTCTAATGCTGATCTTGGGGCCTGATGCAGACCGATCTGGCACTATTGGACCCTCTTTGCCGACTGGGGCAATTGCATCCCAGAGTGGCCCCCGCTGGCCGGCCAAGGCATCACGACCGTCATGACCGACATCGCTGTCTACCTCCTTCCGATGCCTACACTGTTCAGACTCCAGATGCCAATGATACATCGCATCAGCTTGGCGGCGCTCTTCGGTCTTGGACTGTTAGTGGTTATTGCGGGTATCATGCGTACGTACTGGGTGCTGTACGTCGAGATCACCTACGTCGAGGATCCGAGCTACGACCTTACATGGGATTCGTACAATATCTGGATCTGGACAGCGCTCGAGGCCAATTTTGCCATCATTTGCGGTTGTGCACCTGCCATTCGACGACTGTTCACTAAGGGTGGAAATCAGAGTCAGTTCAAAGTTGGCAGCTCTGTACAGACAATTGGCTCCTCGGGGATGAAGAGAAAGAGGGGCAAAGGGGGCTCAGGAAACGACTTGGAAGGACATGGGCTCTCAGCTGTCGAGTCAAGAGCGGATAATGACAACGATGCGTCTGTGACGGAGCTGGTACATCTGGAGGGGGAGGATAAGAAGATGTGACGCATTGGCCGTTTAGCAGCCAGGAAGACAACTGTTTATGATAGTTATATTCTGTTCATAGTAGAAGCAATCACAAATCATCTGTCATTCTCTCCATGTTCTTGGCTACAGTGGTCATAATAAATCTAAAGGTCGCTGTTGTTTCTTTCAAATCTAGCTTGCTGGACCTGACCCTGTTCAACGCCACTCCCACTACAAAGTGTGAACATATTGTCAAGCCATCAACAATTTCGATAGGTTTCTTTCACAGGGCTTTGCCGTTAAGATATGCGGAAGGCGCGCCGGGAATATCGAACATCTCCCGTAAGTCGTGAAGAGCCTTCTGTTGTGTCGGCCGATGGTCATGAACTACGCAATCTGTAAGGTTGATCCGTCTCAGCTGTCGAAAATGTCCATGCTTAACCGAATCGGCAATTTCTCTCAGACCAACCTGGACAAGTTCCTCAAGAAGGAACTCGCCGACGCGACTAATCTCCAAAGTCTCAAGGCATTGCGGAATCATGCTGCCGATGTTGTTCATAATGAGATGGTTCTGGTTATCGGTTCGAGAGGTAAAGCTGTGCGTATCGATGCCCAGGTTTCGAAGCTTGGAAAAGTCCTGCAAAGAAGTGATTGTTTCGCTCTCGTCCCAGTCAAAGAAAAGTTGAGTGCTGTGGAAATCAATTTTGAGAGTGCGTAGCTGGCGATGGAGATTCGGGAGGTCCAGCTTGGTTGTGTTACTGGGCTGGCTAGCTGCAAGATTGTTCTCGTTCCTGAGGAGATTGCACACCATTTGCGGTTTCAGGAGGGGTTTCCTGGAAGTTACGGTATCCAATTGTTCCCCGCGATACTCAAAATATGTGATGTTTGGAGTCGCTGTGAGAACCTCTGTCATGCTTCTCAAGTCCATCGAGCAATTGGTGAGTTTTAGGCTCCGGAGTTTCACAAGCTGACACTGCGACGGAATCTTATAGGACATTGAGTTGTATATCTCCAAGGTAGAGAGCCTAGGGGCACCTTCAAGGATAATCTGGTGGGCTTTGCATTTTCGTGCTTTAGCGGACCGCATCTGGATCTTGAGGTGTCGAAGATTTAGGAGTAGATCATTACATCCCAATGGTCGCTTCTCAGTCCATTGTTGAAGGAGGTCAAATTTCCAGTTGTGGCACAGGTTCATATCCAACGATGTCAAGGTGGGTAGGTATGTAAGAAACACCTGGCTGATATGCTCCAGGACATGATCGAACTGCATCCCGATACGACACCTGTTCCACCCATCCGGCAAATGCATGCCCAGAGCTCCAGCCAAGCGGTTGATCCAAGGGTCTTTCGTCATATTCTGTTGCTCCTTCGACCAATTGATGTCGTCGCTGCTGCTTTCGTACAAGTTGTGGTGAAGGTCTGCATGGCGCACAAGATCGGGGCGGGAGCTACCTTCATAGGGGTCAAGAGCTTTCAGAAAGGTGACAGCCTTTGAGGGGTGATGATCGTGATAGTAGCCCAAGTATAGCATACAGCCTGCCGCATCATGCAACTTGCGACATGTCCGCATCAATCGAGCAAGAGCGATTCGGCATGCGAGAGAGTTGACCGTCGAGACATCGACTGAGAGGTCGTATACATGTTGCTCTGTCTGTAACGGGAGGACAAGCTGGCGGCAAATTTCGACGATAACCTCTGGCGGGCAATCCGTAAAACGCGCCATGTTTGGTCAAGAAAGGTCAAAATCTGATCTAAGTTTCCGGGCAAAGATCATCATAGACATCTTGATTTTATGAATCATTGTTGGCTGGTACGGGCATCTTTCTTCTAAATATAGCCCGACTCCCGTGAACAAAGGAGCAATAACAGCTTCGACAATCAAATGATTAAACAATACTAAGGTAGCAGAACGTGCTTTCCATTGTTGAAAGACGGCATGCGGTCAATGTTTGTTGTCAAATTGATGACAATCATGAAGAAATGATCCTTCGCTTTGTGCCAGCAGCACCTGAATAGAGGCCCAGGGAGGCAGCTGGAGCTGACGGTTATGTTTCTCAGGAACGAAACTTGAGACCTTCGTATTATAAATGATATTTCAATGGTTATGCTGAGACATGGAGATAGGATCAATAGCACGAAACACCAAAAAGGGAACCCGTGGGATTGTATTATGTCAATCGTGGTGAGGATTTGAGCCTCACGCGGGGGTCGAACCCGCAACCTTGAGATTAAGAGTCTCACGCTCTACCGATTGAGCTAGCAAGGCGGGTCAGATGGTAATGCGTTAGTTCCTGAAGCCAGGCAAGATCATTCGCTAGCGTCAGCTGAGGGCTGGAATCACGCCTGATCTGATTGCGATCTCTCAGATCTACATTCCAGAAACCTGAGGAGTAATATGGAACCTTTCGAAGAACATTATGTAAAGCCCAAATTGGCAGGTGAAATGTGACTGTCAGTTTTCTGACTACACCACTCATTTACTATTGGTGGCTGAGTCTTTCCGTCGAAGTCTGATGACAAGGTTCATGCAGGGGACTTTCTGTATTGTCATACTGACTCTATCAGCACTGGATAATTTCTCTAGAGAATGTCAACCTGCATGGTACTTTTTACGAGACCTGATTGGTTCCCTTCGAATTGAACTGGTGTTTTGACCTTTCCATCCATCACTCAGCTTTTGAACGAGCGGCCTTCTCTCCTTGGTCCTGTCGCCTAGGATTCGCCTGCCTGGGCAGACAAAACGGAACTGGGGCGGCTATTCCGTGTCCTCGCTTATTAGCTGGGGCAACCATGATAAGAGATAGCAAAGCGAGCAGAAATTGCGAAAGTCTTTGGTAATGTGGCGTTTTGGCCGCCGCGCTTGAACGCAGTCATTTCTCATACCGCGAGTCGTTGGAGGTTAGAAACAGTTCGTGTTCTCCGTCGAGACGAGCACCAATCGCTGTCAAGGGAAGTCGGGAATATCCCCGCTGTCCCTGTCCCGTTGGTAAGCTCTACGTCGTAGGCGAGGAATGATAGGATGATCCGCGTACCAATCAGACGCCAAAATCAATTTTCGTCAGCAACCATTGATCCACCCGCTGGTTCCCCCTTCATCTAATTGCTGAAGCCCAAAGCCTCGCACAACGAAACTTGGGCAGGCTTTTTCTGTCTACAGCTGACACGTGCCGAAGTCCTGTTTCGACCCAGGGACACCCCGTCTTGCCTCTGGCACAGGCACAACCCGGTGAGCAGCAAGCAAGCTGTATTTTTCGGCAGTGAGAGACGGACTCGCAGAATGCGAGCCTTGTCCGCTTTCATCCCCCCTTGAAGTGTCTCACTTTGCATGCCCCCATTGGCTCGCCGTCAGCGAGCTGAGCTGACATGACAGGGTCTAGAATCCTGACGCTAATTCCTCTTGTCAATATCCGAGCCCTAACAATTAGGCTCTTTGACAATTTGATGATCTGATTTGATGCGCGCTGACCGCCGGGCAAGCAAGGTATTCTACCCCGTGCTGCGCCGAAACAGGAGTCTTCCCCCCCTCAAGAGAGAGATGCCACAAACGGCTGTCTGCAGCGGTTTTCCCTCTCGCCCACCACGACCCCCTTGCGCCAACCGGCTCGACTCGACACAGCTCGACGAGGGGGAGACTCTTCACCCGCTCTACCGCTCTCAGCAATGAACCCCGGCCCCAACGCCAAGTCGACGGCTGCCCAAAATTAGCGCCATGTTGGATCGGCCACAGAACCAAGGTTGCTGCTGCTCTCAGGTGACATGAGCACGGGATGGCGCGCACAGGGGAGCAGGTTGTTATTTGGTACAGCGACCGGCCCCCAAATTAGCAGCAAAACTGTGACGCAGGGAGCGGAAGTGACACCACCACCACCACCACCATCATTTTGCTGCTCTGCTACTGTCTGCTGCTGCTGCTTGCTGCCCACCGTGTGGTTCCTGGCCGTCTGGCGTAAAACTATTGAGCGGCCAATTCCCACAGCCTCCTCGGTCGCTGCGCCTGGTTCGTCCTTTCGGCCCCTCCAAAACTTGAAACACACCTCTTCATGATCATCAGAGCCTCTCCATAGGCCACCTCGGACTTTTTCTGATTGTCCCTTTTTTGTTTTCCTTTCTCACACAACCCGCGCCCGCACCTCTTGGTTCCTGGCTATATTCAATTAGGGGTGAACGTGGCCTTGGACTGGAGGGTAAAGGCAAAGGTACCTGAGGGCTAGCTGCGGTTGAGACCGGCCCGTTTTGTACCTTTCTTTTCTCTCCTCTCCATGTGCCTGTTCGAGTTGGACAGCGAGCAACAATGACAAGAAAGGGCCAGCCAAAGGTTCGAACCGGCTGTCTGACCTGCAAGTAAGTACCTGCTCTTTCTTCGACTACCCTCGAACTCTCGGCCCTCGACTCGGTTCCGCCCGGCTGCATCTCAATTCCCGGTGCCCCAAAAAGCCCGCATGACGTCGTTTGCCAGACCCGACGGTCTGGAACGGTCCCGCGCCATGACGGAGAGTCTCCGAGACGAGGTCGCGGAGGCCGGACGGGCGACCGGTTCAAGTTGCCTCTCGGTCACTCGGCCTGATCGGGGAGTCCGGCTCACGTGCTCGGTTACTTCATCCGATTACCAATGAACATTCCCATTCTAATTCGTACGCTTGTCTTCCCGTAGGTCGCGCAAGGTGAAGTGCGACGAGGCAAAGCCCGCTTGCCTTCGATGCACCAGCACCGGCCGCAAATGCGATGGCTACGCCGTCGTCGTCCCCAGTAACCGCGCCCTCGCCCGGGCCCGGTCACGGGCGACGAAGTTGAACGCTGCTCTGGCTCAGGCATCGGCTGCTTGGGAGGGCGACATGGACGAGGAGAAGATCATGGAGCACTTCCGACGGAAGATCGCGCCCATGATACCCGGGCATCTGGAGGGAAACCTGTGGACCGACATCATCCCACGCATGAGCAGGACGGAGCCGGCGTTCCGAGAAGCGATGGCTGCCATCTCAACGCTCATGCCTGGCATGCCAGACAACGCCTCTGACGACGGCAATGCACCTGGGGTTCCTGAACCTTACACCCGGCTTCTGGGCATACTCGGGGGAAACACCCGCAAGCAAAAGCCCGGAGTAGACACGCAGGCAATGAGTGGCCAGTCAAGAGCCCCTTTCAACCTAGCAGGTATCGTCGACTCCCCAGCGAGCTCGTCGTCCACCAGTCTACCATCGACAGGCCGCCTCTCGAACACCCCGCTCCCGGATGGAAACCGAGCAGAAACATCATCAAGTTCGTTCACGCCACCGCAACCATACAACGACGAGGGCGAATCAGATCCAAAGGAGAACAGTGAGGTTAATGTCACTCTGTGTGGCTGCCTCCTCTTCATGTCCGTGGACTTCTTGCGAGAAGGCCTTGGAGCGGCGATGGAACAACTTGCTACGGGCATAGAAGTCCTCAATAACGTGGATTATAGCGAACTGTCCCAAATGACCATCGAGGACGTTCTTCCCAAGTTCTATCGATTGAGCATCATCCAGATGTGCTTCTACGACAGACCTTGCTTTCCTAACCTCAACCTAAACCATGGACCCGCATCGAGATATAATCTAGGTCCTTTCGACAAAAGCTTTAGTATATACCGACCGCAGTCCGCGATGGACACAATCATCCTAGATGCCATCAGGTACATCCGCTCAGCAGGCCCCGAATCCTGGACAGATTCACGCCTAAGGGGCCCAGTCATGAGCGACGAACAGACTGCCATGTGCAATGCGTTTGACAAATGGCATGCCGCCTTCACGGCCTTTATCCGCGAACCACGACTCGGATCCGACCAACCCCTACCACCACACGCCGAGATCATCTGCATGGAGACTGAGATGAAGTACTGGGTCGCCAAAATGTGCATCAGCGTGTGCCGGTTCTCGGACGAGTCCGCCTACG